TGCCATGTAAAGTAAGCTAAGGGTGTCTCAGCTGCAAGCTACCAAAACTGACTTTGGGTAACTTAAGTTATGAAAGACAGGAATGTACTGGAAGGATATGTAGTAGGACACAGAACTGAGGAAAAGCTGAAGACTCAGGTGGTTGAAAACAACAGCAGCTCTAGCACCCAGATATTAGGAATTAGCCTATGGTTGTCATGAAGGAGCAGCAAGTGTTTACTGAACTTTTCTTACTGTGTCATTCAACCTAAGATTCAAATTAAAGGAGGAAAGCATCTATTTGCCTAACATCTGTTGGCCTGACCTGGGCCATGTGCCTACCACCTAGTTGGTCAGGGATGAACTGTTCTCCAAAGCAAAATTGAGCTGTTATCCCCAGAAGAACCTGGATTGGATGCTGGACCGGCCAAAACAACTTATGTCTACTAAATTCTCTCAAAATGTGATGCTTCAAATTCCACGTGATCTAGATACGGAGGAGCAACACTAGGGTACTGTCTCCACACATGCTGCATGACTGGGAAAGTGACCAAATGCGTGCCTGCTTCCTGCCAGACAGTGATGCTCACAAACATATTTGGTTGTTCCTATGACAATCAAAGAAATGAGTGCAAAATGCTTTATAAACTTGAAGCTAACTGTAGTACTTAATACAGTAAGTGCTTGTCACAGCCATTTTATATAGATTTTATTTAATCTTCAAAACTACTCTATTTCTTGATTACATGCTAAATTAAAAAAACCAAAAAACTATGAAGGTGGAGATTATGAGCGTAAACTCTAGAGTCAGACTAAGTTCAAATCCTGACTCCACTCCTCCAATCTTCAGCAAGTTACTGTTTCTGTGACTGTTGCCTCACCTGTAAATGGGCATAATACTAACAATACACAGGGCTGATGTGAGGATTGTGAGTTAATACAAGTAAAATTCTTAGAACTGTGACTGGTATATATAGCAAACACCTAATACGTATTAGCTATCATTATGAGTAGCACTAATTATTCCATTTTTGCAGGTGACAGAAATGAGGCATCAGAGAGATAACTAGTAAGTTCTCAAAGTTTATAATGGTAAAGCTAGGCCGGGTGCAGTGGCATGCACCTGTAATCACAACAACTCATGAGACTAAGGTAGGAGGATCTCTTGAGCCCAGGAGTTTGAGGTTTCAGTGAGCTATGATTATGCCACTGCACTCCAATCTGGGCAACAGAGTAAGACACTGTCAATCAATCAATCAAGCAAGCAGGCAAGCAAGGAAGCAAGCAGTAGTGCCAGAAGTTGAACTTCATTGTTGGTGCTCCTGACTACCATACTGTTTTCAAAAGACAAAAAAAAAAAAAAAAAAAAAGTGGTAATTGGACTTTAACCCTATACTCAAGTCACGTAATTAAGGATATTTACAAATGAAATTCAAACACAAGAGAGGGAAAAGGGAAATAATCTGTTATCTTTTCTTTTTTTTTCCTAGTTTTTTGAGACAGGGTCTTCTCCCTTTGGGCCCCTTTCCACAGATATTTATTGCTCACCTACCACTGTTCTAGGAGACGGGGTGAGGTGGTGAACAACACAAAGCCCCTACTTTCATAGAGCTTACAATGCAGGCAAATATTACAAAGAAGAAACTGTGGTTCAGTTACCAGGTCTGTCAGACTCTAAAGCCTATACTGTATCTTTCAACCATGTCATCTCTCAGTGGATACAGCTGTTCCCTAAAAGTATATGCCTAAGCATGCAGTCTTGACACTACACTCTAGACCAATTTAAGCTTTCTCTCTCTGTTGGCAGTCCAGTGACATCTTCGCAATAAAGTGTTCCTTCCCCAACTCTCAAACTATACCCTATTGGCCGGGTGCGGTGGCTCACGCCTGTAATCCCAGCACTTTGGGAGGCCGAGTCGAGCAGATCACGAGGTCAGGAGATCGAGACCATCCTGGCTAACATGGTGAAACCCTGTCTCTACTTAAAAAAATACAAAAAATTAACCCGGCATGGTGGCGGACGCCTGTAGTCCCAGCTGCTCCAGAAGCTGAGGCAGGAGAATGGAGTAAGTAAACCCAGGAGGCAGAGCGTGCAGTGAGCCGAGATCACGCCACTGCACTCCAGCCTGGGTGACAGAGGGAGACTCCATCTCAGAAAAAAAAACAAAAGAGAAAAGAAAAAAACCCCACCCTATCAGGCCAGGTGTGGTGGCTCACGCCTGTAATCCCAGCACTTTGGAAGGCCAAGGCAGGTGGATCACGAGGTCAAGAGATGGAGACCATCCTGGCCAACATGGTGAAACCTCATCTCTACTAAAAATACAAAAATTAGCCGGGTGTGGTGGCACACGCCTGCAGTCCCAGCTACTCAGGAGGCTGAGGCAGGAGAACTGCTTGAACTCGGGAGGTGGAGGCTGCAGTGAGCCGAGATTGCCCCACTGCATG